ACAAAGTCCTTGGCCAAACCAAAACATCGCTATCAGCTCTGTTCTCGAGCCGAAAGTCAAAACACTGCACTGCACCAGCTACCAAGAAGGAGAAAAATGACTGCTACTGCTGAACCCAGGACACATGGGCCAGGGATTCCTTCAGACGTGAAAGACCCATCATTAACTCTTCTACTTTGTCCTGTCCCAAGAAAATTCTGTGAAGTTGTCACCACCAAGTAGTCAAGAAAGTTTCAGGTAAAAATGAGTACATGATTCACCTTTTTCATTTTCACTAATTTCAGGAGTGGTTTAGTTTTCTAAGGGCTGAGCATTGTTTCTCACTCTACTTGGCAAGTTATGTGCACCATACCAACCAGTAACGAGGGGTTTGTTGTCTTTCAGAATAGAGGGTATTTACATGGAAAAAATCTTGATGGCTTTTGTTCATGTCAGTGTTTTCTAGGAATACAGCTCTGCAATTTGACCATCTTTTCTTCTAACTGTATTGTAATGCTTTCCAGTTCTGTTCCAGTGTGTAAATAAGTGTCTCCAAAGTAAATGAATAAATTGTGATATTTTAATCCTACCAAATTAATTTCTTTCAGCTGCTGGCTATTACTTTCCTTCTCTGTGTGTGTTGACTTGTAATGAGGAGCTGGGGTTACTGATTTTTGCCTGGACCCAATCACCTCCGTGTTTTGTGAGTTGTCATAAAACTGACCACTATTGTACGAGCAAATGGTGTCATTCCTTTGCCATGATGAATTCTAACTTCAACCACCCAGCAGCAGGTGAGCAGCTGAGGGAAGCAGCATGTTTGGCCAGTGAAGGAATTCCAGGATTTTCTGTATTGCTCTAAGGCTCCCTGTGGATTGCAGATTCTCAACTGGAAAGTAAAGGCAAGATGCTCAAGAAGATGATTTTTGACCGTCAAGGAAAACACCGCTTCCTGGGAGCTCCCTCTCTGAAGTTTGCAGCACTGCAGCAGGTTTTATCACTCACTCTCTGTTCTGGCAATGCTCTTAGCTGTGAAATACCACTGGTACTGCTGTCATAGCAAAGATTTGAGTTGTTCCTTGTGACGGCAGGATGAAAACCTGCTGAAGACCTGTGGCCCAGATGGCACTGTGTATCTTTGTAAGGCTTGTGCGTGAGCTTTTGCTGTGAGAGATAACAAGTTTCCTTCACAAGAACACATCATTTTTCCTAGCATTTATCTGAAGGCTTCCTCTAGAGAGAGGAAGGTAAATACTGACCTACTTCACAAATTGAAGCTCCTGGATTTGGTCACTTTTATTCCCAAAAGTGGTTCTTTTTTGTTACACTTGCTCCCTCAACAGGCTCCTTGCCTTTTCAACCTTTCTCTCACTATCTGATCCCAGGATGACTGCAGGAATACAGAGTTTTCAAGTTGTCTTATTTGCATTACAAAATTATCTCCTGTAATCAGTCACTGAATCTGGCTAAGCACACCCAGGACTGCCTCTCACAGCCAAACAAGCGATGTAAGCCTGATAGACAAAGAGGAAAACACACTGAGCTGATCCAGGGGGGATGTGAAGCTTCCTGCTGTCAGTCAGAGTGGTAACAGCTTGTTTAAAAAGGCAGTGGGTGGATGTTGACCAGCACTAATTTTAGATAACTAGGATCTGGTGTCAGGAGAAGTGGGGTTTAATTTTGCGGGCAGCATGTGAGAGCAACACGCAGCGGGAATGGAAGAAGGGCACAGGTGAAAGGAATTTAGGGATTAGAGTAGTTTATAGCTGCCCGTCTCCACTAGAGTCAATAACCACAGGGTTATTCTCTGAAAGAGTAACTCCATGTTTGCTCTCCACCCTCCGAGTTAAATATTGGTTAATGAAAACTAGCACTGCTCCTGCTGCTCCAGTTTTAAAAATATGCTCTGTCTTTCCAAAAATAGAGTTAGAGTTTGAATTGAGAATTGAAATGTCTGGCCCAGGGCTTGGTCCCAGCAAATAAATTGCTTACACTGAGTTTTCCAGCACTGACTTAAGTCTGTCTACATTGAAGTCTACTGCAAAACTCCCCTCTCTGAGCCCAGGCAGCATATGTTCAACATCCCACCCGAGTCTTGTTTAAGAGGAAAGGGTATCCCTGCTTCCATTCTGTTCCCAGTGAGGGGAACAGTGTAAGTGTGGAGAGCTGGGGTAGCACAGAAGCTGGTGGGTGTGTCAGTGCAAATGCATACAATTGGTATTTGCAGTTTACTCCAGAATAGCGACATATGTATGGGGATGTCCTCTTATTCAAAAGCAGATGACAAACAACTGTTTATGTGTTTTAATCAACTAATAAATTATGTGCTTACTCACCTACAGGTTGATTAAATGGTGAGGTTTTCTACAAAGAATAAACACGGTCCAGAAAGGAAACTTGGGAGAAGAGGAAATGCAGTTTACAAAATTGTCCGCTCTCTTTTATACTGACCTCCTAAAACTCAGTGGCCCTTGCACTACTGCAGCCAGCCCCACTGCACTGCTGCTGGGCTGAGCCCTGCCTTTTCATAGTCATAGAATGGTTTGGGTTGGAATGGGCCTTAAAGACCATTTAGTTCCAACCCCCTGCCGTGGGCAGGGACACCTTCCACTAGAGCAGGTTGATCCAAGCCCTGTTCAACCTGGCCTTGAACCCTGCCAGGGCTGAGGCAGTCACAGCTTCTCTGGGCAGCCTGTGCCTGTGTCTCACCAGCCTCACAGGGAAGAATTCCTTCCTAATACCTAATCTGAATCTCACCTCTTTCAGTTTAAAATCATTCCTTCTCATCCTATCCCTAAAGCCCTAACAAAAAGTCCCTCTCTAGATTTCTTGTGCTCCTGTAAACCAGTTGTGTATTCAAGCCCACAGTGTGCACTGCTTAGCAAGAATTCGCACCATCTTCTATTCCTGCTCATCTGTCACCGGATGCCATTTTTCTGTTTTCCCTAAAATTTTACAGGTGGCTCTAAAAGTATTTGCTTGTGTGGAGGTACGAGTTGTTCTTAATGGCATTAACACAAAGCATCTCGCTGTCTTTTCAGCCCTATGCCACATTTACTTTTCTGGAAAAGGGCTGAAATAAAGTGTCTTTGAGACCATAATATCAAAGTGTGGGAGACTCTGGATTTTGTTTCTAATTTCTGCCCTATGTTTTAATTCTTTTTAAGTCTTAAGTGCTCTTAAACCATAGTATCTGGCTATTTTACACTGTGACCAAACTTTGATTAAAGCAGTTTTGATACCTTTGGCTTCATTTTCAAACTGTGACTAAAAAGACAACTACAGGTTATTGAATTGCAGCAGTAGAGACTGTGGACTAAAATGTATGTGCTATATATATATTGTGCACTTTGGGGTCATTTTTATGAACTATTTAAATACCAGTCATTAAACTTTTATACTGCAGAGCTGAGTAGCTACTTGACTTAAATACTCAATAACACAAGTGTTTTTATTAGTCTTGCAGCTACTGGGTTGTGAACTGTAGTTACTGTACAATCTTCCAGCTATGCTCTTGTTTTCAGTAACTATATTTAGAAGTTTGAACCATATAAAATGTTAATACCAGACTTATAGGAAATAAATGTCTGTATAAGCCTTGCTGTTGTTTTTTTTTTCACTGTAGTGCAAGAAGGAGTTAAGTTTCTAAAATGAAGCAACAATTTGAATCCTGATCCAGCCTCTTTAGGAAGAGTTGTCACAGCCTGACTTGCCTCAGCAATGCTTATCATGGGAAAACTTATTTCAGGGCCTCTCTGACAGCAAAGCCTTTATTTCCAAGGAGAATGACAATAGGCTGAAAAGCAGGGTTTTTTTTCTAACGAACTGACACTTCATAGAATGTCTTTTAATAATGAGTAAATGCCAGCAGCCAGCAGAAAATCTTTTGGTTTCCCAAAAAATCCCAAAGATTTTCCTAAATTATGTAAGGCAGACATCATGCGCTCTCCTCTGCCCATCAGCATGGCCTTTAGCTACTATTCACTGCAGAGAGCCCAGGAATGCCTGTGTTATGCCTAGGACTTTTGACCCAGAACACTGGTCTGCAGCTAGGTGTGCAGCTTGGTTGGGTGCTGTATGCAGTTTGCTATCAAACACACTAATTTCAGGAGAAAACGTGTTACCACTATTGTCATTAATAGTCTTGGCTTTGTAGTGAATTCGAAATATGTAAGGCAAAATTAATCCCACTGAATGTCTTAGTCTGAGCTGATTGTCTTCACCACCAGTAGAAAGATGTAGGAATACAGGTGTTTTTCTTAGACTAGATCAAGTATATTGCTCTGAAAAAGCCTGTTTTCTCTCAACTGATTTACACTGAGAATCCCAATGAGTAATTCAAATGTTCACAGCTCAGGTAAGGCAAATCCCATCCTCTGCGTCTGGAAATACAGCCCTCTCATCAGGAGGTGGACTTCTCTAAAATCTGTGCCCCCACTGTTCCCCCTCTTAATCCATTCGTAATGATCAAGGAATTCCCTTTGAACTCTCACAGAAATAGCAAGCACGGATGGCTTAGCATGTTATTTCTTGTCATGCCTACTGTCATGCAGCCATTTCTCCACTGGATCCTGCCATGTCTGGTTGTGGTATGTGTTGAAACCTCCTGCTTCGTGGTGTCTTGACACAAACAGGATGATATTCACCCCTGACTCCATAAAGTAATGTGGAAGGCATTTGGCAGCGTTCCTAAATTCTTGCTGTTTAAACATGAGGAAGCAGGTCACTTCTGCATACCAGCATTGATTTATAGAAACTGAATGCCATGAGGAATCCTTCCCTTTAAACTAAGCAGGTGATGCAAGGGTGAGGTTCTACTCCCAGTTGCAGGTTTGATCCCAGTCACCCTCACACAATGAAAGAAGCCACCAGCCTGTCAAGTACAGTAGTCAAACATAGTTTGAAACATTTACTACTTCTTTCCTGAGGGCCACTGAGGGAATTCTCCTTCGTATTTCTCTGAATGTTTTAAATGTTTTGGGGTAACTTCCCCAAGCCTTGATTTTTACTTTAATGCCTCCCCATTTTTCTTCCAACTCAAAGAACACAAGTTTACTGTGTCTTGAGACAGCAGGTGCATAGTCACAATGGGAGAGACTCTGCACCACTCTCCCCCATGATGAGAACACCTGAACCCAATTTCTTTTTAACATTCTGATGGCATCCTTCTTCCCCTCAACAGCAAGCACACTGCAGTACTGTGCAGTTAGCAGCTTTGCAGTTACACTGTGTTGGCAATGACACTAAGTTCTTGCACGAGTGGATTTAAACTTTCTGGGAGAGCTGTTCCAGCATCTCCATTAGCTTCTCCTTGTCCTCGAGTGGACTGTGGGTGCTTGCCAGGGGTAAGTGCGTAGGGACTGGTTGCCTGGCTGGAAGACAAAAAATAAAAGCCTTTATGGATACATTTAACTACCTCTTCTATCACAAAGGAGGTGTATTCCTCAAGACACTATACCACCCAAATATACCTCACAGTGTTAAAGCTAGGAAACATACACTCTAGGGATCTGAAAATGCTGTTAGTTAAATGTATCTTCCGAAACAGAAATCAAGTTAATTTAAATTGTATTCTGGGAATAGAGTTCTTGTCCTTTAGCATGGTGTGACTTAGACTGGGGAGCAAGAGCTCAGTTGTAGCTCGGGGCAGTACAGATAAAGGAAGGCCTTACTACGAATTTATGCCTCCTGCTCTGTGTCACTAGTGTAACTCCTGCAGACCAATAACTTGAAATTATTGCTACAGGCAGAGGTTGCTTTTGCAGCATGAGACAGGATTTTTCCTTGCTTCCTGAATAATGTTTCTAGTGTTACAAAAATTCCCCAACTGGGACCTTTTAGTTTGGATTATTTTTAGTCTTATAATGCTTATTTTCATGCTTAAAAGTAATGGTTAAATTCTAAATGCTAAAGAACTTCAGCTAATTGCACAATCACCAGAAGTAACATGTATTCAACATAAAGATGTCTGACCATATTTTCTCAATTTGACGCTTTGTTTGGTTTTCCAAATCTCATACTCTTCACTCACTCTGGAAATATAGCTATATCTCCATCCATTCCAAGGGATTTTTCTCTAAGGACATGGAGTCTAGAGCCTGGGAACTTTGTGACAATGCTCTCAGATGTCTGTGCAGCTACAGTCAGAGCAGCACTGTTAGTCGGTTTAGGAAATCCAACTTCTGCAGTAACCAGCTGAGACCAGAAGAACGAGCTGTTGCAATACTGGGCAGCCTATCAGACTTCCCAGGGGAGCAGAGATGTTTGCTCTCTTAAGAGCAAATGTTGTAACTGGCTGCACACACCACATAATCTCTGCTCATGGAAAACTGAGGAGAGAGAGAAATATGAAAAGGAACAATTCCTTTTCCATCACTGAACACGAACTGCTTCCTTCCTAGCCATAGTGCTTCCAGTAGCCTGTGCTAAAGTTTGGGAATTATGTGTGAAAGCCAAGTTCAGCATCATGGAGAAGATGCTTCTCATGTTTGGAAAGCTCGATTGTGTCAAACACTTCCTATTTATGTTGGCAAATGCAGTGAATCCTCATTGTAGAAGTCTCACTTCATTTCATTTATTTAAAAATATTTATTTTAATTTTTAATTAAATTAAGTTTTTTTTTCATTTATTTTAAATTTTATTTTAAAATAAAAAAGTTGACTTTGTTGTGCACTCGAAGGGAACAAAAGGAAATGGAGGGAAGGTGTGACTGGTTCAGCAAAAGTCTGTCTAGGGCCAGATGAGCAAAGGGACTAGATGAGGGTCTGCGGCAAGTGCTCCTGTACAAAAAGCCCTTTACTGAAAGGGCCTGAAGAGGCTTCATACTAAGCTGTGGTTTCCAAAGGGAAGTAGGAGAGAGAGAAATAACTGACTTCATCACTATTTGATAAGCACAGGACACAGACACAGGATTTCTCTTGCAGCCTTAAGAGTAGTTATGCCAAGACCAAAGCTCTCAAAAGTCTTAGCTATAGCTAAAGAGCCAAGGTGTGTCCCCTGTTTACTAAAGCTGGGGGTAGACAAAGGCTAAAGGGAAGAGCCTGGTGGAATTATGGTCTTAGAGAAAGAACAACTGAGCAGAAGCATTAGGACCAGAAGGTGACAGGAGTACAAAAAATGCAAAGTCTGGTTCTACAAAGAAGACTGACGAGCTCGGATGTGGGGTTTCTGCATATCCTAGATGATAACATAAAAGAAGTCTGGTCAAATACCTGTCAACCAACCCTGTGTGACTGTCTGGGAGGGGACAGAAGGGACAAAGTCAACCCAAATCCAGAAAAGTTTGAACTTCCAGCATGTTCCACCTAGAAAATCGACGTATCAGTATTTGGAGGCCACATCCAACAAAAGTACTGGGCTTGTGTAAGCAATTACCCTGAGCTTTACCCTTCTCCTTCTGCACTGACCCTCATCGCCATTAAGACATCTATGCTTCCAGCTGCTCCTACTAAGATGCCTGTCATTTGTCTGGGAGAAAAGAAAGGCTCTGTCCTATTTTTCAATTCGCTATGCTTATAGTGCCAAAAATGCCACTGTGCACAATCTCCCAGTGTTAGAAAAAGGGGAACTGGCAGTTTTAACTATCATGGAATGGCAAGAAAAGCCTATCAAAGCAAAGCCAATCCCCAGTGCTCTGTGAGAAGGATGCTAATTTCTCAGCATCCTAAAAGATGGTATTTGACAGCTGTGATTCACCTTCTCTTGGCACAGTCCTGCTTACAGCTATTTTCATTAAAAAATGCCCAGCCCTCCCTCAAGAAAAGCTTTTAAGTCTTTATCAGCTACTTTAGAGGAAAAAAAAAAACAGGGATTTAACACAGTTGTTCTCTGGTTGCACAATGCTCACTTGAACTTTAAAGCTTGGAACGATCTTGAGAAATACTTTTGAACAACCCTTGCCTGGTCTGACCTTCATCCCCTGCCAAACCAGAGGGGGATCCTACAGTTCAGGCAACTTAGGAATCTCCACTGCTATGCAAAGTAAGACTCTGCTGCCTTACCTTGGATGAACAATCCTCTCAGTAAACTCATTGCTTCAGATGATACTGCCATCCACACAACAGCTCCCTGGGCCTCTGTGCACAGGATATTCTTCATATTCTAATAGAAATACTTGGACTGTGCAAAGATGTCAGATGTGGGAGAAACAGAAATACTCAAACTCAGGTATCCTAACAGGATTTTTAGCTCTTATTTTCTCACCATTTTTATGAAATCAGTTGCAGCACTGTATTTTAAAACTGTGCAGTCATCAGTACCTAAACCAATTACATAATTCATGTTTAAACTCTGGTTTCCCTTTATTTTGTCAAACAGGTGATGACTGAAGGCCCATCTCTCATGGCTGTTTATTTTTGAGGGTTGCAGAGTCCTTGAACTTTAAGGTGGGATAACTTCATTAGGCTTGAAATGCATAAAGTCTATGCAACAATAAATGTATTTTAAAGACAAATACATTTAGCTGGAAAGGGCAGCTTTCAAGTGTAAAGTAGATGGGGTAAATGCTTCTGGCATCAGAAGCAAATGTGGGAAACTGTATCCCTAGAAAAGACCTAGAGACTGGATTGCTAGTCTGCATCCCAAGCTTGGGTGTTAGGGGCTGGTAAGGTATTGTGGAATGCAACATGCATACTGGATAACTGATGCCTGCCTGCCAAGCCATGGTCACTGAGGAACAGCTGCAGCTCAGACAAAGGGCTCTCTGGCCAAACATGCTGCTTCCCAACGCCAGTAAACGTTTAGAGGAAGGGGAGAGGAACAGAGCTTGCACAACAGTGCGTGCTCCATTTTCCTATATGTGCTCACAAACTCCCAATGTCTGCAGGCTGGTACTTACAGAGGCAGAAGCTCTATCTGTGTGTTTAACAGTCCCTCTAAAAACGTAACTTAAAGGTTAGCTTAAAGAATTGTGGCTCTGCCGTGCATTTGATCAGGGCTGGAACCATTCATTGCCCATCATTATTCTCTGGATATACAAAAATAGCAGACACTGTGCAGAGCAGAGCTACCAAGGGGGTACAAAACTACTTTAAGCACCAATTTGGAGCCAAGAAATCACTGCATCTGTTTGAGATATCCACTTAGAAAGTTTTATTTCTCTTTGCCTTTAGACTAATCCTGAAAAGAAAGAATTATAGTCAGTGTTAAGCAGATATTATCTGGAGTGTCTGCCCAGCTGGGGTGCATAACAGAGAAACGGATGTTTCTGTGAGCTTTTCCCCATTGTTCTGTTAAGACAACTTGCTATCTCCAGGACAGAGCAAAAATAGCCAGACTAGCATCAAGCTCAACAGCCTGTCCACCAAATTAGCTCCCAGGGAGATAAACTACATCAAATGTGCTGTAAACGCCAGGGCATTTGTGCATAGCAGAAATACAGCCTTGCTCATCCTGACTGGATCTATGGGATAATTTTGTCAGAGACCGCCACGGTCCTTGCAATCCATATCCTGGCCACAAGCTTATTTTTAAAGTGGTTACAGTGCTTTTACTGACCATGTCTGCTGCTGCAGACTGTAGGGAAGAACTGAGCAGGAAGAAAAGGGTTTGTCAGCAAGGGACAGTTTTCCCCCTTGAGAGTTACCTTAAATCAAAAGAAAGCCTAGCCATGTTCTCCAGGCAAGATGGTATACATTTGTAAGTCCATGCCATCCCACTCCTGAACAGTATTGTTTGTGTGTTTCTGTATAGGTTGGGTGCAATGTGCAAGCAGCGGTGAACACCTGGCTTTTTTGCCAAGGAGATGGTATAAGCCATCTAGCAAAAGTGCTGGGATTTGTTTTAAAAGCATGAACTGTACCTTGGTTTGTGCATACATCATAGTTCCATCAGATGTCCTATTTCCTGACTACAAGTCAGGTATGTTTAGCATGGTATGTTGAACAAGCATGGCCCCAGAAGAGACAGTTATCTGTAATCAAAGGAATGAAAAGCAAATGAATGAAAAACAGAACCAGGAATTCCCCACAGTTGCACTCAGGCATGTAATGGGGTCTTCAGGCCACATTTGGAAGCACCTAGGGAGCAGGATTCTTCAGCATACTCTTTGCACCCTGCTTGTACTCATGTGTGGGGCTTACCTGGAGGTGAGGTGAAAAAAAACAGAATGTTTTTTTAGAAAGCAATTTTCATTCAAAGTGGGGTTGATTCCTTCAGGCAACTTTGTGCTTCTTCCCTTCCAAAAGTAATCGGGAGAAAGAAAACAGTAGAATTGAACTATTTGTAGTTGATAAGTTTAGCATTTATAGAAGGTAATTAGAAAATGGGAGGCTGTGCGAAACTTGGGAAATTTCATTTCAAACATATACCTGCTGTCCTATTTTACACCAAGATCTCTGAGGTTCTGTGCTCCTGTTACAGGTATTTTGCACTACACTGCAGGAGGTAACTTGCCCCAGGGAAAGTAAAAGGGGAAGTTTCCAAAGGAACTGTTCACTTTGATTTCCAATGAAGGGTTGAGAGTAGCAGGCAGGAGCTTTTGCCTTGGAGAAGGAGGTGGCCTTTCGCAAAATCCAAGAGGATTCTAGAGATTATAACTAATCCTGTATTGCCAGTGAAGTCAAAGAAATGCTGTCACAAACCAGAAGGTAAGAACAGTAAACCACCGCTTTTCAACAGCATCGCATACTCACCAGTCTGGAATCAGCTGCTTTTTCCAGGAGGGGCAGCAGAGCAGTTGTCAGAATGTAAGTACCTAAAAGACAGACAGGCACCAACACTAACTTTTGCTTTTAAAAATACTTTCTTCTCTCCTCACCCTCTGCAACAACCTAAACCCCAAAGTCTCTTTATTTCTGACACTTGATCTGAATTTGATGATGATTTTTGTCGCTGCTTTATTTGCAATATGCCAACTCAACTTGTAGGGGTCCACGTTGCTGCACATTTACCAAAAGGCACATCAGTTATTTTATAGACTTTTATGTTTATTGTACTTATGGAGCAAACTGCTCACTACATTCAGCCATGACTTTGAAGGCAAAATGCCTCAGGTACAGATGTCCTTGGGTGGAGGCGATGGCGGTGAAGAAACAGGGAATGCATTTCTCCTCCCTGTGTGACATACATACATGTGTCTATGCCAAGTCATGAACAAGAGAAGCAAATTGTGCTTCACACTTGTGTTTCTCAGGGCCTTGCATGTTCACTTAAGACTCACCCATTTTTGCCTTCTCACTGTGAAATCACTTGGAGTACGCTGACACTTTTGATTTGTGCTGCACACAAAAAATGTCTCTTAAATCCCCAGCGTGACAATTAGAGAAGGTAAAGGAGTCCTTGGCAGGGGGTGAAGGGCGGAATAATAATGTTGTGTGCCCAAGGCTGAGCTATGATTACCTGGGGAAACTTATTGGGTCCATCCCCATTATAGCGTTCATTCAGCTTAGATTTATACGTACCACACAAATATATCCCATTACAGTTGTTACCATGACCAGCAAAGTTTGTTATTCAAAACACTGCTCAACACGAGTGTATGTGAGTCAGACACACCTAATGATGTTTCGCCTGCTGAAGTGTAACACAGGGATTTTTCTTTTCTCTCTTCAGGGATATTTTTTGTTATTTTTCCCTTTAAACTGTATTTTAAAAACTGTATTTTAAAAACTGTTTAATTCCAAATGAATTTGCCCTATTTAGTCTATTGTTTCCGCTTCAAGTACAATAATCCCTCTCTTCTCTTCACAAATGGCTCCAGTTCAACAATTTATGTCAGTGATAAACATACTATTTTCCATGAGCTACCAAGGCCATGTTTTCCACTAGACATGAAGACTTCAGCATGTGTCTTTATAACCTCTTTTCTGCAGAGGCAGTGAGATCACCCAGTTAAAATGCAGCCTGTTTATAAATATGCTACCAAAATCAAATGCATTATATGCTTAGTGCACAAACTGTTCAGTTTCCCCGTCAGTCACAGTGATCTTCATTTCCTCTGTGTAATCAGAGGGACATCCATATACACACAATATATTAAGCCCCTGGCAAATGAAGCAAAGTGAATGTGCAGCAGATGAGTGAATGCAGCCTGTCTTCAGCAGAAAATGCAAGCAAAAGCAGTTGCTGGTGAATAATGAGAGCCCATACGTCTCCCCTGGTAGTGGTGGGGGACTGAAGGGTGACATCATGAGGACAAGAGCTACTGCTGACTGTTACAGGAGACTGGCGCCATGTGAAAACCCCAAATACACCAATTCCTTCAGTACAAGCTGAGAGCATGGATTAAATTCCAATTTGCTACGGATTCTTCAAGTGCGAAGTAACATCATGTCTTGGTTAAATAAGCTACATCTCCTACTGGCAGAGCTGCAATGCGCCAGCTATGACGACGCTTGGTTTTACTGTCCCACAGATCAATCTACACTTTTAAGGGGCTTTGTGTTGATTTGTTAATTCTAAAGGGATGCAAAGATGAATGCACTAACATTGCCTCATTTACAACTGAGTTCTGTTTTGTTTTCCAGCTGGATGAGTGTCCTGGGTTCAGCAGTAGCAGTCATGTTTTTCCTTTGTGTTAACTGGTGCAGTGCTGTGTTTTGACTTCCAGCTTGAGAACAGTGTTGGTGAAGCCGATGTTTTCGGTTGTTGCTAAGTGATGTTTACCCTGACCAAGGACTCTGTGAGGCTCATGCTCTGCCAGGGAGGAGGGGAAGCTGTGAGGAAGCAGAGACGGGGCGCCTGACCCGGGCTAGCCGGGGAGGTATTCCATACCACAGCATGTCATGCCCGGGGTGAGGGGTAACTGGGGTTACCCGTAAGGACAGGGGCTTCCGGGTGGAACTCGCTTTCTTGGCCGGTGGTATCGTATTCTCTTCCCTTGTTATTTTCCCTTATCATTGTTTTAGCTGATAGTAGCGGTGGTGATTTGTTGCTGGACTGTTCTTGTCTCAACCCGTAGGAGTTGCACTCTCTCGATCCTCCTCCCCGTTCCTCCGGGAGCAGGGAAGGGGAGAGCCCCGGTGCAGGGGGGGGGGGGAACGGACGGACCACAATTGTTGTCAGCTCGGCACCACTCACTGGGAGTAAGTGAACAAGTTACCTGACTGGGTTTAAACCATGACAATGAGACAAATGTTCAACGCCAAAAATCCTGCTTATAGCAACTACAGCTTGTCAGAAGTTTATGTGCTTATTTAAAACCACAAAACAACTGCAAAACTAGCATCTCCTCTCTTCCTTCAGTTTATTAACAATTCAATAAATCCCACAGAGTCAGAGCACTTCATCATTTTGCCCCACAAAACCACATGCTAATTTGCTTTGAGACAGAGGGCAAAAAGACCAGTCTTGATTTCAGCTTCATAGAATCATAGAATAGTTAGGGTTGGAAAGGACTTTAAGATCATCTAGTTCCAAACCCCCTGCCATGGTCAGGGACACCTCACACTAAACCATCTCACCCAAGGCTTCGTCCAACCTGGCTTCCTATGGTAAGTGCTAGTATCTCATAGGACACAGCTGGGACACGTCATTAGGCAGGCATTAAGACTGAAGCACTTAATTTCACCCAGTACAAAATATTTCACCAAATATTGTCCTTGTTTTAATTGTTTGAACACAAACTCCTTAGTATTTTAACCACTACACTTGGATATTGTATGTTCTTGTTTGATTGGGCTGGTTTGTCAGGTAAAACAGCTTGGACGAGAAGTTTAGTACGATACTAGTAGAATAGATGTACCTTATTAAGAAGAGTTATATTGTCAATTGGGATACATCATCAATTGAAACCTCCACATCTTTATTCATGTAAATGCTGGCACATAGTATGGCAGTTACATTCAAACCCATAGGAAGAATGCTAAGCGTAGCCAGTGCAGAGGCCTGGCACTGCCACATACCTCATGTCATGTGCTTTGCCAAACACAGCTGTACTGGAGCATGTAGTAATACAGAAATTAATTTCTAAGTGAAATGGGAAGCTACAGATGTATGCATTGCCTGACACAGTCCTGCTTATAAAAGCAGGAATTGCATTTACAGTATAAAAAATGAAAAAGGAAAAATTCCTTATTTTTGGTAAAAAAAACAATTTTGCAAGGAAAACCAAGACTGATTTGGTAGAAGAAACTTCATTTCCTTCTCCCCCCACTTAAGGAAATTAAGGTATCATACAAATTATTTATCCTTTTGCTAATAACTCAAAATTAATATCAACACACTGGACATCTGCCTTTCCAAAATGAACACTTCAGCATTCAAGTACATTTCCTTGACACAAAAATCACTTATGTCTGTCAAAGGAGAAACCTCCTCCTGCAGAGCAGAATTAAAGATGGTAAAGCATATCAAGTGTGATTAATGCTTAATTATCTCTGTGTTCAAACTGTACAGGTTTGGTTTGGTTTTGTTTTTTTTTGTTTAAAAGACCAAGAGAGAACACAAAGGTGCACATGAAGGGAAAGGTGATGACCAACAGTGATGTGCCTTGCACCGAAAACATTAAGCACTGGGATATCTTGGTGATCCTGCCCCTCTTCTGAGAGGACTTCAGGAATTCTGTCAGAAACAAAGGAAGACCTTTTCTTTTTTACCAGAAAAAAACAACTGCCACTACTCCTGAGGGTTTCTGAGGAACGCATGTCCTTGTCTCAAGCAGATACTCTGTGGATGGAGATGCTCAGCCTTGAGGCCACCACATTTCCCAGTGTCTGTTTCGCAGCAGCTGTATCTACAACAGACATGTGGCACCTGGGAGCAGGATGCTTCTGTCTGAACAGTTCTCCTGGACTATAGCCCATTTTTTGCACAGGTCTGAGTGCCTGCAGGAAAGAGCAGGCTGTTTTGAATTACTCACACTGTGGGAACTTGAGCAGCAGGCTCTCTCTGACACACATCTCAGACCCAGCAGGCAGGGAGCTATGAGTACACCTACATGGCAGTGCTGGACATACAGCTGTACTACCTGCATCTGTGACTGTGTTACAGAGGCTAGATGCTTGTACATCATTTTTTTTTGCAGCCATTGGAAGGTATATTGTCTACATGGCCTGAAAGCTTGACTCCCACTGGTGCAGTAGAGGGGAAAAAATAATTTTGCAGTGAAATGGTATAAAACATCCCTTTAAAAGCTGTTCCACAAAGGAGTCCAGCAAAATGAATCTGGGAACTTGCTCAGAAGTAGCAGGAAGGCAGAAAAGACTGGGTAACCATCCAGTCTATCACCCCCACGTACAGGATTTCATCTTGCCCTCGCTGAACTCTGCTAGGTGAGAATTTGACTAGAGAAACCTACTGGACAAGCTATAGCCCAGTTCCACGTTATGAGGTTTGACACAGAACTTCTTGGCAATGTTTTCTCCAGTTAAAGAGGCTCCTGGGACTGATGCACAATTTCTTTTAAAGGTAAACATCCTCTCAACATTTGCTTTTCTTTCGAAAAATTCCTGTAAGTTGCACATCTTGAAGCTGAGCTCACATAATAGGAAATCATATATAATAAACACGGTATAATCAAAACCTTCCTATAAGGATAGAGCAACTTCATTCAATCAGCTCTATCATACAGTAGGTTAGACACCGTGGGTTGTCAGTCTGCACGTTACACATGGTAATTCCAGTAAAAGCAAGGAGCATGGCACTTAATGAGAACACACTTTGTTCATACACACTCCTGCTCAAGTGCTGATCACATGAATGTTTCTTTAAGTTTCATGTTTACTCGCTAAAGGAATTGCACACATTCCCTTGTGGTCTGTTTTGTAATTGCTCTGCTTGCTCCAAGATCTTCTCAATTTCTTTGAGAAATGTCACATTGTGGTCCAATTAATGACTCTTGTTTCTAATGCCACACAGTGAATTCCTTTGTCAACCTATATGAGCAGTAATTCAGTGCCTTCACAATCACATAGTGAAACTTTGATGATGCAAGCATAGAAAACGAGGAGCTGTTATGGAGATAAACATTCAATTTGTGTGCAAAGTTGTTTAAAACAAAACACTTCAAAAGTCAGCTTGTCAGCTGCACAAACTCCTAAATAAAAGTATGCTCCTTTTGCATCACCTGAAGCAGAAGCTGAGGGGACTCTATGGAAAACACTGTGGTTGGGTTTTGCAGGAGGGTAGCTCTGAACATTACTCCAACAGTTACTTCTCTGTGGATCCCACCATCTCTACCACAGTACAACCAAAGTGAAAGCTATCCCCATGCAAGGTACAGAAGTCTACAGTATATTACAGACTGGTCCGTCCCACAGAGAACTACAAACCATTCTGTACTAGAACACAAAACTAAGCAAAACACAGAATAACCCTAAGAGAAAATATAAACATTGGGAAAGCAGAGTTCCAAAATGCTGGTGGTAGCAGGCTAAAGCTGAGTTACAAAACCTGGAAGACTCCTGAGGATTCATATTTCAGACTTGGAACAGGATATCATGTATAGTGATGGTATATGAATACATACTCCTCGCTGCTTTACAGGTTTAAAGTGACCCCAAAACCTGTACTTCAGAATTGATTTGTAAAGAAAATTATGGTTTCAGAAGAAGTAATTTTGTAAAGCCACTACCTGTTTATAATATCAAATTAATTGATGATGCAATTATTGCAGACCCAAGTACCTTGGTGGATTCTAGAATAATTTTTGCTTGATGTCCTATTTGGCAATTAGTAGTAAATTGTTGGTGAGGTTTTTCATCTGCTAACATTCAGATAAAGGCAGGCAGCCAGCACTACACTCAGTGAAGTTTCCCATCTGCCTGAGTTTTAGAGTATTATTAGGAACAGTGTTATTTCAACTGTGAAAAAAGTGGGAACAGAAAAAAACCCTCTCCTTTTATTATACAGATTTCAATGTCTCATTCATCTGGTAAAAATCATTTAAATTGCCTTCCTTTTCCTATGTTCAAGGCTTTTAAAAAAAGAACACACTGACAGTCCTCCTTGACCTGGTTATCTTGTCAAGCCTGCAGTTTATGCAGTTGCAAGCAAGAGACATCCCTGGATCTGCCTGCTGAGTACAAGATCAAGAATGAAGATTTTAGCTTGCTGTCTCTGAGGGCCAATTCTACCACATTAGCAATAACAGAGTGTACAGGAAGAGCTAATGAACATGAGGAACAAAACAAAGGTTTACATCTCCCTTGAATTACAAAGCTCAGCTCAGTAAGGGTTCCTCTGTGTCCTGGGAACCTAGGCTGAAGCCTAGTACAGCTAGTGGATATGCAATTACATTTAACCTTATCCTTTCATGTAGCACTTCTTATCCATAAGTCTCAAAGCTCTTTGGAAAGAAAATTGGTATCATAGTTTCCTTTTCACAGGTAAGGTTGTCTTGCCAAAGATCAGGCAGTGACCTTATGGCAGAATGACAGCTGATATCCAAGCTGCCTGATTTCCAAGTGGCTCGGAACACACAGCCCACCAGGCTGCTCTGCCTTCTGTGAAACACCAGTTAGATATGGCTTACGTGTAGGGAACAGACTGACAAATATCCATAAAGGTTAGGCAATTTGCTGTAGATGGCCTGTACTGCTACTGCTGCAAAAAAGCATTTTATTTCCTCTGGCTTATCTCTTCTTGCCCAGAGAGTAAATATATATGGCTGTATTATTAAAACACGAGAGCACATTAGACTATAGAAAAGATGCATACTGGGAGCATTACTTATGTATGTCTGAGCGTGTTTTAGCATTCCCTTGGCTGGTCAGTAGCAATAAAAATATAACATATATGCCATTTTTCCATGTCAAGCAATAAGATGTGTTGAGTAAAAGTAAAGTGAGGCAGGCTATAAAACAAGGATTGTTTCAGTTAAATGTCTAGTGCTTCAATAAGAACATGCTGAACTTGCCTACCAATGCTGACAGGTTTTTTCCAGAATGACTGAATATTGCCAGTTTGGAAAGTCTTTGTTGGGAGTTTTAATAAAACAAGGAAAATTAAATTTTACTTAAAAAAAAAGGAAGTGTTGGCTCAGAAGTCTGCAAGTCTCATCAAAAGAAATGATTGTCACTGCCCAGCTTCTGAGTACAAGGCCAGCCTGTGGGAGGAAATGTAAGGGCAACAACATGCTACCTAAAAGATACACATATAAATCCTGCTCATCATGATTGGCAGCTCCCCATGAAGTGTGCCCACATTACCCCAAGACAGTCGCTCAGTTTCATACTGATGGTGTGATTCAACCAGCAACGTGCCATTTCAGACACGTGTCTTGCTACTGCCCCCACATTACAGTGTAAGTGCTGCGCAGCTGTTGTGCTCTCTACACCTTCACTGAGCTGAAGCAATCAGAGCAACAATTCTTGGGGATTTAGCAAGGATAAAAGGTAAGACATTTTATGTGACAGCAATAACAGAACCACAACAAGTCACGTGGTGTTTGTATCTGAACCCCATTTTAAGTGTGCTAGGCACCAGCACAGGTACGGCTGCTGCTGCCTGATCGATGCAGTTTGAACTTGATTATTAGACAAACCATACAGAGCCTGAACTGTCACCATGCACTTTGCATTTTCATGACCTTCACCCACTTGCATATTCTGACAACACCAGAGAGGACTCTGCCCCTTCTATTTCAGTGAGCTGCCCTCAATTAGCTAGTCAGTGGTGCTCCACATTAAGGGAAGTTCACCTTCTAATCCAACCAGTATTGGTTTTGAACATATTCATCTTATCTACCTGAGGAATTATGCATTCACTTACCTCATATACATCCAAGAAAAGATCAGGATATAAAGTATGTTTCACAAGCCAGATAACCAGTTAGAACTGAACTCCATTATGCTTGAAAACAGAGTAACAAGTCAGCCAGGAGGAAAATATTCATAGATTTGGTTTAAAAGCTCCTCAGCATTTCAGATGTGCAGTTCTACAGCTTATATGAATATTAATCAGATACAGAATTCAAAGGCTATGCCCTGCATTTAAAGCATGTTATAGTTCAGAGTCTTATATTCTTAGATAATTACAACCTACACACTCCTTTACTTGACCAGAGCTAAGATCCAGATAGGAAAAAAACAACAGTGAAAGAAAGATGGAAGGATCACATTGCATGTGAAGATATGAAAAAGAAAATAAACATACTATTCCATCTTGTTTCTGCAGAAATCAAGCAGTCATGACTTACTGCTTCCATGCTGATGCTGAGGGGGACAACTACAGATTTTCAAACCAGGATCTTGAGCCCATGTCACCCTTCAGGCTCTAGCTTTTCTGGGGAAAAAGGCAGAGAGAGCAATTTAGTTTGTTCTCTCAGCCCACATTCTAGTTTACAGCCAACTGATATACCAGCCATATCTAATTTAGCCAAGCTTTTCTCTGGGAACCTATAACCATGGATAGTTACCAATACAGAAATAACTTCTCCAAAGTAAAGCATGCCCAAAGGTACCTAGCTCTTATGAAAATTACTTAACACAGCATCTACTCTGAGAGGCATTTTCTCCATGCAGCTTTCTCCTACTACTATCTCCAGCAGATACGATTTATTACCCTATCTCTGACTTTGAAAACTCCTGCACCATTGAGAGCATTCATGTGTCTGACCTGCATGCACAGAAGCTTTCTCTTGCACAGACAGCCTGTTCCAGCTCAATTAAGTCCCTCTTGATTCTAAAAGCTTCAAAGTTAATCCTTATTGCTGCCTAGAGAGAGCCAGTCTGAGGAAACAACCAGCCCCTGCCTGAACTCTGCAGAAGTCGGACAAGAAGATAACTTACCTGTTTCACCTTATCTGCTCAAATGTGTGATCACCACATTGACTTCTCATACAGTCATGCAATAAGTGATACACAAATGAACAAAGGAGATCTACATGTAGCATTCATAAAAGATAACACAGGAATTCCCCTAGTTCACTATAATCATTATTCAGCCTCCTCTGTGCAGCTTCATCTCCCTAGTGGGGCTGATTCATAGCTGGGAAAGAAGAACTTGATGCTTCTATTTGTGTGGTAAAATCTAATTCAAGTGATGCACCAGCACAGTTCCTCAACAATTAATTTCCTCAGTGTTTAAAACTAAACCAAAACGTTTGTTTCACTCTGCTTCTGGAAGAACTGCACCTTTGTGCATTGCTGGATTTCTGCCTGAAAGACCCATAGGAGGGTTAAACTAACTTCAAAGTGGAAGTTTTTGTACTTCTGCAGGCAGTGGAAATTTGATGGCAAAATAAAATTCACTTTAAAATCTGACAATGAGAAACAGAAGAAAGTTAGCACAAGCAAATGAATCTGCGCCTTTATATTTGAATTAATTGCCACTTCAATGCAGTCAGACTTGCAGAAAAAAGTAAGCCGTATGTACCATGTCAGCTAAGCAAAAGACGTGTCTAAGATGTTAGTTTCCAAAGTAAATAAGACTTAAGGAGGCAAGACAGAAAAAAGGTTGAGTATAAAACCTAACAACGGTAATGAGAGTCTAGCAGAAAATGTGCGCTAAGAACTTCAAAATATGCAGCTAAAAAATCTGCCTTTCTTTTTTTGTAGCATTTCTCTGTATATGAATTGAGAATGGACAAGAGTAAACAGACATGGAGACTAACGCAAACACATTTAGAGCAAATTAAGCAGAGAACTGTGGGCAAAATTGTGAAATGCAAGCTACCTGTTGGACAAATTCATAGGCTATGCACTCCGAAGACAGACACAGGATTGAAGTATGCAGACTTACCCACACATCTCATTTATGTTCAATTTTGAATATTTCAGCAAACTTTCAGATTTTCTTGGTGTCAGATATATCCAGAATATGCAAGAAAATATTCTAGAGTAGCAAAAATAATGTTAGAGCCAACAGGGACAGTGAAGGACCCTTCAGGACTCTTCACTCTTAAGACCTCTCTAGGCAAAAAGGTATTCAAACAGTATGAAAAAATTTTATCTCCAGAACATAAGTAAACAACTTAGGTTAACACGGACAACTGGGAGTTCTAATTCTAGTCCTTAAAATATGCAGTCATGTGCCTCCAGTGTTTGACCATCCTCATGATAAAACAAACAAATCCTATTATCTAGTCAGAATTTTTCCCTGTTACAACATGTGCCTGCTGCCTCTTGTCCTTTCACTGCAGACGTCCAAGAGAAGCATGAGAATGCCTTCTCTACACTGTCCCATCTCACACCTGTAGACTATAGCAAGACATATCTCAACCTTCTCTTATCACTGAGCAAAACCAGCCCTCTCAGCCTCTCCTTGCGCATCACACATCCATATCCCTAGTCACCCTGGCAGTTGGACTTGCTCCAGGACATCAATGACTTCCTCATTCTGGGTAACCCCAGACTGGGCACAGGACTCCTGCTGCGGGCTCACAAAGGCTTAACAGAGAGGAAGATGCCCTTCCCTCAGCCTGCTGGCCACAGTCATTTTCACAGAGCCTGAGGTGTGGTTGGCCTCCCCTGCCACAACTCTAGGTCCTTCTCTGCAAAGCTGCTCTCCAGCCAGCCCATCCCAGCCTGTACTGCTCTGTAGGGTTACTCCACCCCAGGGCAGGCCTGTGCATCTGCTCCTGGTGAACTTCATGAGGTTCACATCAGCTCAGTTCCTCACCTGTCAAATCCTTCTGAGCAGCAGCCTGACTCTCCAGCTTCCACCCTGATCCAAGATCATCTGCATTCTGGCAAACACTGTGCTTCACTCCATCACCCAAGTTGTTAAGAGACATTCAACAGCTTTTGATCCTGCATTGACTCATCAGGGATGACACTAAAATATTGTTAACAGATCAGCTCTGTACTGCTGATTGCCACTTTCTGAGCCGTATGTTCCACATAGTTTTCCACTCAGCTTGTCATCCACCAGTTCAAATCACATCTCTCCAAACTGGCTACAAGGATACTACAGCAGACCGTGTAAAAGCCTTGGGAAAGTGAAGAAGTGGCAAGCACTGCTCTCCTCTTGTCCATAGTCAGTCATCTCACCAATGGTGGAGACCAGGATGGTCAGGACAGGTTTGCCCTTAATAAATCTACACTTTTGTTCTCAATCACGTTCCTGTGTTCCATGGGGATTTGCTCCATAGTTTTCCTGGAGAGCAAGGTGAGGCTGACCAGCCTGTACTTCCCTAAATCCTGCTTGCCTTTTCTGGAGATGAGTGGTTTCCCTTTTTCTGGGTAACAGGAAGCACGTCCTGCTTTGAGGAGGTTTCCCTGGAAGATAACCACCTTTTTCCCAAGTCGTTTTGCTCTCCATGGCTGTCTCCTGTGGGATCCTGCCAACCAGGTCCATAAAAAAAAAAAAAAAAGGAAAAATCTGCTTTCCTAAAACCAAAGACTAAATTACTGCTCATCCTTCTTGTCTGTCTCGATCTTAAATTCCACAATCTCATGGGCACTTCCACCAGCTATTGAAGACTGCTATTTATAGCAGGCCCAGCAGAGATCATCTCTAGCTGTCTTGTTAAACACTAATAACAAAACATTGTCCTCGATGCTCTCCAGAAATCTCCTGGATTGTTTATGCCTTTCTGTTTTGCCACAGGTATTGGGGTGGTTCAAGTGTTCCTTGAGTACCAGGACCTGTGATCACAGGGTTTCCCTAGACTTCTAAAAAAGGCTCCATCTACTTCACCAGGAAGTCTGCAGTAGACACCCACTATAACATCATCCACATTGATCTGACCTCTGTGCCTTACCCATAAACTCTCAACTGGCTCATACATTTCAGAGCAAAGCTCCATGCATTAAAGCCACTCCTTTGCATTGAGCACAACTCCTCCTCCTTGTGTTCCCATCTTGCCTTTCTAAAAGGGTCTGTATAAGACCATTCCGTGGCAACCATATCTCTCTAATTGCAGTGAGATCACAGCTCTGCAACTATGCATGGATTTCCTATGCTATGCGTATTCATGTACGGCACCCGAGATGGGCTTCAGTCATGTTACTTTCACAGGAAAGCTGTGAGAGCCTTCTCCATTGTGCTGTCAAATGCTAGAAACATACTCACTTTCCCCATGATTCCACTACTCTTGTGGGTTTGGTCACCATCTGTCAGTGAAACCAGTTTAAAGCCCATCTCAAAGGCAAACTTAAGCTGGTTGCCAAAGATACTTTTGGCTCCACTTTGTCACTGCTTCTCAGGAAGAAGAACATCAAAGATATCATAAAGGCCAAAGACAAAATGACAAAGGCCAAAGTGACACCAGCATCATACTCAGGTGTTAACCTGCAGGGTGCATGTGCTCCTACCCAAGCCTTTCTCTTTCACTGGAACGATTTAGGAGAGCACTACTTGGGCTCTCAGGCCCTTCACTCTCTCTAAGAACTCTTGATGAGCTTAAGGTCACCCCTCACAATGACATGGATGCCCATGCTGGGCAAGAAGAAGTCCTAGTCTCAGGTCCAGAGAAGCCTCATCAGACTCTCCACAGTACCCTAGATCTGACTGCCCAGAAAGAGATAAGCAGCCCAAGACATCAAGCCAAGACTGTAGATGGATGCCTCCATCCCCCACGGGAGAGAGCCTCCAGCCATAATCACCCATCACTTCCTCCCAGTGCTGACAACCAGTGATTCAAGCTCATCTGTCTCCAATACCTACCCTGACAGAACTTGCTCTTCCTCATCTGTTACCATGGCACTATACCTATCTTGTAAATGCACGTCTGCAGGCAGAGAATGAACCTGCCTTCTGTTGCCAACAGTCCCAAGCTTCCATTCCTCCTCATCTTGGGAGTCTCTATCCTCCACTTACATGAGCATAGCTTCTATCTGTCCCTTCTTCCGTGCAATGTGGGGTTTGTGCTCTTCTACTCTCTGCAAAGATCCTGTCAATCTCCTATTTCTGGTCCCTATGGCTATGCAGCCTGCTCATCTCCTGCTGCCACTTCACCTGGCAGCCTCACACTTTGATGGCAGCAGAACCCAGCAGATGAGGCCATCACCATGTTCTGCCCCAGGCTCAGGAAGAAGCACCAGTCACTCCCTGCTGCCCAGCATCTACCACATAATTCCTCTGGAGCTTCGGCCAGGATTCCACATTGCCAGGGCAGTTGCTCCAACCATGGCAGGAAAAGCACACTTTCAGGTGCCCACTCCAGCTGCCTCAGAGTGTTGGGTGCCTTCTGCACACCCTTTCATGGTGCATTAACTGCTAAGTCCTTGTTAGCCACTCCATGCCACAACAGCTTTGCAGTGATTTTAACTACTTTGGAAAGGAATGTGGGTGCAATAGAATAAAAAAAAGAAATTGAAAAGCTTGACACAGAGCAAAGTTATAATTTTCTAAACCACTAAAGCTAGAAATATTTCCTCTCTCTAAACATCAAAAACCTTTTACTGTTTGTTAAGGCAATTCTCTTGCTTTTTACAGATTTGTATTCTACCCAGTAGCAGCACAGTGGTATTTATCAGCATACAAAAGGCATGTCAACTCCTACTCTTCTCTTAGATAGCACTTAGCCTCAAAGACTCTCCACAGATAGTCCTATGACGTATCCCAGGATAAGGCAGTTTTAAAATAATTATGCAGAGGATGTGTTCCCATGCAAAACAACAAATAATCATTAAAGGACCTCCTGTCTTTCCAAGTTGCTTCTTTAAATACTCATTATACAAGCAAATGAGGTAAGAGAAGAAGCTGAGAAAATTGTAAGGCATTATTCCATGCATATAATTCTGCTTGCCTGAAGAGAAAAACCACATGATTTTTTTTCTCAAGCCACTGGATTTCAGCTCCTTATTTGAGTTAGGCGAGAATTTTCTCCTTTTAATGTTCATTTCTGTCCAAAGGCTGCTCTGCTCTTTCTAATTTGAGACCTCTCCAAGAGCTTTCTAGTTTTAAAGTAACCACCATTATCTACTGGTACAGAAAAGCTGAAGTTTTCTGGGCAAATGTTCAATATTACATGTGATTTCAGAGAGTGAAAAGGATGTAAATCAGCACTTATCCGCCTAAGACCGTCACATTGGTTCAGAAAAAGGACACACAGGCCTGCCCGCTATGAAAGTCATGGTAGCAAAGCTTTTTTCAAAATGAGACCTAATCTTAATGACTACATCTACTTTAACGTATTAGGAGAACTTTCTAGTTCCCAGTGCATGCCAAATAACTCCAATACAGCACTGAACTTCAACATGTCTTTCTGTGGAAGACGGAAAAAATCTTTGGTGTATACTACAACAGGATCACTGTTCAGATGATCAGGGAGAGCAAGTTAAGTCTGGATACAGCTTGTCAAGCTGCAGATAAAGCATTTTGTTGTCACCCTGTATGGCTTCTGAATAAGCACTTATAAAGAAGGATGCTCTTGTGGACTCCTTGTACAGCTTGTCTAACTGAATGCTTCCTATAAAAATGCTCTGTCTTCAGGGTCGTGAACAAGTTCTGCAGTGCCCTCATACTCTTTCATGACTAGAGAAACTAGAGGTTTGCATCCTGATGAAAAGTGGAAATGTGGTAATTGTGCTGCTTTTAGGGAAGAAAATTATTGGCATCAAATTTTGTTTCACCAAATGACAGAAAACAGAACATGAAGGAGCCTTCAGAGGTCAGACTCACTGTCGTGGTTTAAACCCAGTCAGGTACAGTCAGGTAACTTGTTCACTCACTCCCAGTGAGTGGTGCCGAGCTGACAACAATTGAGATCCGTGTCCGCCTCCCCCCCCCCCCCCCCCCCCCCCGCCGGGGCTCTCCCCTTCCCCGCTTCCGGAGGAACGGGGAGGAGGATCGAGAGAGTGCAACTCCTACGGGTTGAGACAAGAACAGTCCAGCAACAAATCACCACCGCTACTATCAGCTAAAACAATGATAAGGGAAAATAACAA